TTGAGTGATGAAGGAGAGTTGGTTGTTAATAGACAGGTTTTGATTACTTTTTCTATTGACAAGTATGAGGATGAAGTCTTATGTGATGTAGTGCCTATGGAAACAAGTCATATCCTCTTGGGAAGACCATGACAATTTGACAAGAAAGCTATTTATGATAGTTATTCCAACAAGTTTACGTTTGTACATAAAAGGTGCACAATCACTTTAGTGCCCATGACTCTTAGTCAAGTACATGAAGATCAAAAAGTCATGAAGTTAAGAAGAGAGCAAGAAAAAAAAGATGAGAGAAGAAATGAAAAGAAAAAGAGTGAGTTTGAAGGCAAACTTAAAAAGAAAGGGGGGGAAAGTGAAGACACTTACAAGTGAGGAATATGAGAGTGAAGAGAAAGGTGAAACACTTACAAGTGAGAAATATGAGAGTAAAAAGAAAGGTGAAGAAAAAAATCAATATGAAATGAGAGAAAATTTGTTTGTGAGAGAAAAAGAAGTAAAGAAAGTTTTGTTGGCCTCTCGGCCTATGTGCTTACCTCTGTATAAAGAAAGTCCTCATAATAAATTTATGGATTCCTTTGCTAACGATATTTTGCCTAGTAGTATTTTCTCTCTTCTACAGGATTTTGAAGATGTCTTCCCTAAAGAAGTATCTTACTACCTACCTCCAATTAGAAAAATAAAACATCAAATTGAAAAGAAAGTAGAGCAACAAGCAAAGTATATCAATAAGGGATAGAAGAAAGTAGAATTTGAACCTGGAGATTGGGTTTGGATATATATGTGCAAAAAAAAGTTTCCCATGCAAGGAAATGCAAGGCTTCAAACAAGAGGGGATGAATTATTTCAAATCTTAAAGAGGATTAGAGATAATACATACAAAGTGGACTTATTAGGTAAGTATGGTGTTAATGCTACTTTTAATGTATTTGATTTATCTCTCGTTGATGTAGGTAATAAAGAGTCAAATTTGAGGACAAATTTTCTTGAAGAAAGAGGGATTAATGAGAATCAAGGAAAGCCCATTGAAGATAAAGACTTGAAGGCATTGGAAGAGCTTCAAGGACCAATGACAAGGGTAAGGGCAAAAAGAATAAATGGAGACTTAGAAAAGATTGTTGCTGTCTTATTTGAAAGGGAGCTCAATTTAGAGTTAGAAAAGCCCAAGATAATCAATTACATATGCTTAGAGGATTTGAACTCTAACGAGTTTTATTAAGATTTAATTATTATGTTTAGTTTATTTATTTTGATATTAGTCATTACTTATTTTGAGTTTTTATTTAGGATAAAATCTTGTTATTTTATTTAGTTTATTTGAATTTAGGCTTGTTGGTACAAGAAGCCCATTAGGGTTTGCGTTAGTATTAGTTTACAAGCATTAGGCATATATAAGCTCTTGTAAACACACTTTTAATTAGTTTTGAATATAATTTGAGATTGAACACTCTTGTGAGAGCGTGTGACTCTAGGTTCTTGAGTGAGCCAATTTTCTTTGATCTTATCAAGAGGCCAAAACTCTTGTGGCGATCGTTCCTTGGCTTATCAATCTTGCGATTGTGGCGCAATTTTCCATCTCTATTCTATTTTTACTTTTTATTAATTTTCTTCTTATTTCAATTCTTATTTGTGCCGTAATAATTTTGTTTTTATTGTGTGAAATCCACTTCAAGATCGTTTAATTCGGCGACACGGTTTGTGGTTGTCATCACGATGTGCGTTTCCTATATAGTAAGATTGACATTACAGGAAACTAGGAAAAGAATTACAAGGTATGTTACATTGTTCAAGAATATTTTTCAAGGGTGACCAAGTGTAGCATGCCATAGTTCTAAAGATTGTGTGGCTGGTTATTTGACAATAATATAAGCAGAGTAGGATTGATTTTGTTGAAGCTGAGGGAACGCTTAAAGGCCATCCTTAAGTGTGCCTTGAAGAATTTTTTCCACGGTATCCTGAGTTTTGACATTGCAATAGTTATGATAAAACTCAAAATAAATATCTTTATCAAGAGCAAATTTTGATACACAAAGGAGATTCTTGGTTATAGATGGAAAGAACATGTAATATTGGTCTAAGACAAGGTGTTTAGAGAATGAGGGAACAACAAATTTAGAATGTCCAACATGCTTAATGTTCAAACCTATACCATTGCCAACTCGAACACATTTAGAACCGTTAAAATCTGATTTCATGGAAAGGTTACCTTCATCATGTGTAATGTGATGTGTGGCACCACTATCAGAGTACCATAGAGGGTCATGAACGGTTGAGGGAGTGGCTAGTTTTGACTGTTGGGTGGATATTGATTCTTGAGTACTAAATTGACTAGTGAGGCTTGAGGAGGACCTTGGTACTCCTGGTTGAATCTGTGCCAACAATCAGCACTAAGATGACTCGGTTTACCACATATTTGACATGGAGACCTTTGTTATTCCAATTGTTCCTGCCATATCCTCTACCTTCCATTTGAATTTATGTCACATCTATTGTTGTTTGAGCTTCCGCGATAGAAGGGTATTGCTCCTCTATTGTCTAAACCACCTCTATAGCATTGAGAATCACCTTTGCCTCGACATAGCTAGAACTAGGAAACTGTAATGGAGCTTGGTGTGGTTTAAAGCCCAAGCAAGTAAGGCAAGGGCTTTAGCTCTCTAAATTTTTTTTTTTAGTTTTATTATTTTAAAAATAGTTTTTAATTTAAATATTTTAAGTAATTATTAATTTTTCATTGATATTATAAATAATATTTCATGAGCTGTAACTTTTAATCTTAATTAATAAATAATAAACATTTTTTAATTTATTTTTTTAAAAAATAATTGAATAGCAAAGAAAAAAATTGAACATTTTTTTTATTTTTTATTTAATTACTACTTCTTTCTTCTTCTTTTTTCTAACTACTCTCTTCTTGTTTAATTTTGTTTCAGTTTATATTTTTTTACTAACAACAACCTTGGAGTAATAGTGGAGGAGGAAGCAAAGTCTTCTATTTTTCTAAAGCATAAGCATTGGTACGAAGCCTTCCATTTTCTCAATACGGAGGCACTGATACAAGAGTCTTCCCTTCGCTACTCAGCCTCCATTACCCGCACCTACTAAACATAATTTCACAGTTTCTTTGTAAAGCTGTCACTTTTGAAGACGTAGAGATTGCAAGTGTCAAATTTATTTTCTTGACAATTTTATTATTTTAATTTAGTCTTATTTTAAATAAATTTTAAATAAAATTATAATAATTTAAAAAAAATTATTTTATTAATAAAAAAGCTTCATTTTTAAATTTGCTTTTAAGTCCTAAAAGTTCTTGAGCCGTCCCTGAATGAAGCTAATACAATATTTGTTTGGATCAGATTAATATCCTCCTTTATGTGGTTATCAAATCTTTCTTCTTGAGACATCAACAAGGCTTTGATATTATCAACTGAACAAGGATCAAGCCTAGAGGTAATGCAGCCCATCCAGGAATGGTCCAATATGTTTTTCATCTGTGATTGCAGATCCAATTGCTACCAGAGAATCAACAATTTTCTTGATCTCTAGGAGTATTCATTGGCATATTTCTCTTTCTTGATTATTGTTAGCTGTAGCTTGAGTTTCTTGATTTTGGCCTGAGTTTGAGATGCATAATATGATGTTAATCTTTTCGAGATTTGATGAGCATGGGTTAGACCAACCATCTTAGTCAAGATTGGTGAGATCATTGATGCTAAAAGTCATGCTACAAGTAGTTGATCTTGCTGCCCATAGTTGAGGTATGCTTCTTGAATTGTGTCACTGGTTTTATCTTCTTTGGTTGTAAATTTTACTGGACTTCCTTTTTCATCAAGGTATTTTTTGAGTTTTAACCCACGAACAGTAGCAAGAACCTGTTGTTGCCAGATCAAGAAATTTTCTTCATCTAGTTTAATGGATATTGGTGCGGTAAAAGTTTGGGGGGTAATTGAATTGCTGAAGCCATAGTTTTATAAAGAAGCTATTGATACCATGTTAGATGCTTTAAGCATGTGGAGGATTTGAAGAGAAAAGAATAATAAGTGAAGATGATGATTGATATTATTATATTTAATGAAAAAAGTACATGTTTATATTTCTTATATCTTTAATATATAAGCTATATTTATAACTAAACATATTTACAAAAATATAACAGAAAAATAATTAATATAATGAATCCTTTTTTTAAGAAAAAAACTATAATTTAAAATAAAAATAATAAAGGAAAATTTAAAATAAATTATTATAATATTTCTTCTATTCACTTATTTTATAAAAGTGCTTATATATTAATTCAAGTCTTTATATTTTTTATAAAAAAATGAGAAAAATATTCTCATTATAGGTTTTAGCTCATTACCCAAAATTTCTTTTATTCCTTAAACATTGCGCAAACGCACTTAAATTTTATAAATACATTGTAGTTAATTTTTTTACAATATTCTTAAAAATTAATTTTTAATTGTTTGATTAATTAATGACGTTGAATAATAATATATTTGATTTGATGTTCAAACAATTTATTATATCTAATAAAATATAAATTTATATTATATTTACACTATTTAAGAAATATGTACAACAACCTCGCGTAATGCACGAGTTAAATGACTAGTTAAGAAAATAAAAGAATAATTAAAATCAAGGAATATGTGTTGACATCACTAAATATTGATTTAAAATAATTCGGCATTTAAATCGAAGCATAATTAGTGAGAAAGTTCTGAATGGGCCATAAAACTAGCAAATTAATAGCACAAATTATTTCTAATAATGTTTTTAATCTAATAATATTTTCACACTTTTTAATTCGTAATATTGTTAATAATGGATGAATATACCATAATAGAAAAGAAATGAATATAGTCAATTTTTTGAGAAACCCAATGAACATATACAAGTACAATAAAATTGTATTTGGATGGATATATAGTCACACACATTGCACAGAGAAATAGAAATTGCACATAGCAATTCGACATAAACAAACTAATCTTATCTTGCCATATCCTTTCTTGCATCACTGGACAGTGGACACAATCATGCCACGTCATCATAAACGCCAAACACAATCCACTTTCTCTCTCATAATGTCTCATAGACTAAAAAGTGACCAACTCGTAACACTTTGAGTTGCATCACCACAACATGGCTGCCACAGCTGCTGCAGGCATAGCATCCTTGTTTTCTTCTTCCATTAACACAGTCAAATGTGTGCCCTCAAACCGCATGTTTGCATCTTTGACACTCTCCTATGTAGTGGAACCTTTGTCCATTGGGGGTACCATTTCACACAAGTTGTGGGTGCCTAGAATTTCAGCACAAGAAGAGATGGTTGTGGCTTCTGAAGTTGATGCTGCTTTAGTTGAAGAGAAAGTGGAGGAAGGAGAAGTGATAGCAGAACAAGACACTGAATCCTCTGACAACACTAAACTTTATTTTGGGAATTTGCCTTATAGTGTTGATAGTGCAAAACTTGCAGGGTTAATTGAGGACTATGGTAGCGCAGAACTAATTGAGGTATATATGTCACTCTTATAAAGCAATTATATCTATAGGATAATATGCTAGGAGTAAATTTGTAAATTCCTTTTATTTAAATTACTTTACTTTAATGTCATCTTGATTTACACTATGATTTATGAATTTATCATGACGGCATCCCATTTTATTTTTCTGCATGGTGTGATTTAATTGATGCAAGGTTTTCTGATGATGGGTGTGTAGCTAATGAATGATTACATTTATAATAGTGTGCTGTCCTTGGTTTTTGACTTCAATAATTCAGACTTACATTCTAATTTAGTTCAATGAAATTTTTCTAAATATCTGTGGTGTCTGAAATAATGTTTGTTGTGCTTTTGCTTCGATTGATTATTTCATTTGTTTTGGATTTTTAAGTAATAAGTATGGATGAATTGGGTGGTGTCTGAGGGATCATATGTCTTCTTGAAGCTTATCTTAATGGTAAACTAAACATTTTGCCTTAGTTATTTTATTGATAATTAACTTCCAAGAGCGAGTTAAAATCTGAAAGGGGCTTCAGATATGCCTTCATAATTTTCTGTCGAAAATTTTCTTCTTTTGGTAGAGGTGTCTGCTTATTTTCTATTTGCAATTTCTGATCAATTCATTGTCTCGTTAGTCTCATTCTCCTCATTCATTGTTTCTTTCTTGGGAGCTTCTATTTATTCCATTTACTGATTTACACTCCCGCTTTTTAATGTGTTACATGTGTGTATAATAATGATTAGTGAAACAATGTTATAATCAACTAAATTTGCAATTTTGCAAGAGATTTTTTGTATTGAAGTTTTGATCATGTTTACGATAAGATGTTTGCAAGAAAAAGAAAAACTATATTGTTAGACACATCACCTATAAAATTTAGTTAGTGATGTGAAAAATGAAAGCAAAAGAAGAAAATTTTCCTCCATAAATGGTTGTTAGCTAGCATATATTCCTCACACATGCGAGTCTTTGGAATCCAAATTGCATTTTATGATTTGATTATCCATGCATTCCTTAACTTTCAGTGTTGTTAATGAAGATTGTACATATATATACATTTAGGTTCTTTACAACAGGGAAACTGGAAGAAGTAGAGGCTTTGCATTTGTGACAATGAGTTGTATTGAAGATTGTAATGCAGTAATAGAAAATCTTGATGGAAAAGTAAGAATCACTGCCTCTTTAGTCTTTCCTTTGTTCATTAGCATTTGTTCTCACATTTTATTTTCAATTGGGTTGTTTTTCTGATACCCTTTTGCATACTGAAGTAGTAAATGAACTTCTCAGGAGTTCTTGGGAAGAACCTTGCGGGTGAACTTCTCTAACAGACCAAAACCAAAAGAACCTTTGTACCCTGAAACTGAGCATAAGCTTTTTGTTGGGAACCTGTCATGGTCAGTGACTTCTGAGAGTTTGACACAAGCTTTTCAAGAATATGGAACAGTGGTTGGAGCAAGGGTCTTGTATGATGGGGAATCTGGTAAGTCACGTGGCTATGGCTTTGTTTGCTACTCAACAAAAGCAGAGATGGAATCTGCCCTTGCAGCCTTGAATGATGTGGTATTCTACTACTCATCTCTTCACTCTTCTATTGGTTGTGCATTGTGCAAATTATGTATGATGTTTAGCTATATGAAAAAATAGTAATGAGGGACCAAAAGAAGTTCAGAAAAAATCAACAGAAATTTTCTGATAAATAATATTTTTAAAATTTAATTTTATCTAATTTAATGGCATTATGTCATTCATGTAACACACTTTATCCAATAGGATAAACTTAATTATTGTTGTACTTATGTACTAGTTTGATTGGTTAGGAGAAAAACTAAAAAGCTTTTATTAAAATAAATTATTATGTCAAAAACACAAATTATTTAGTCAGAGCTTGCTTCTAGATTAGGAAGCAATAAATAAAAATTATTAACAATCACATTAAGGATACATTTAAAAATTACATGAAAGTGAATGGATACTTTTCAATAATAAAAAAAAAGTACTTTTACTTTCTTGGTTAAGGCAATAGTTAGAATTAAATTTTAAGTAGTTTAAAATATTTAAGAGGATATATTTAAAGACTGGTTAACATTTGACTTTTAAGTGATTGAAAACATCAAAGAAGATAAATCTAAAGCCATTTAACTTATGCACTTATTAAAAAAGTATTTATTATACTTTTGTATTGTGAATATAATAAATATTTTTAATAAAAAATAATTATTTTTTTGAATACTTAAAATTAAGTCTAATTGACAAAATATTGTAAGAAAATTGATGTTATTTTGCTCATTGGTTCTATGTAAATTATTGTGCTCTTCAGGACCTTGAAGGACGGGCTATGCGGGTATGCTTGGCTCAAGGAAAACGTTCACAAGGTTAATAGAAACTTGACAATGCTATGATGAGATGTTCAAAATGGTGCCATAGAAATGAGAAGGGGATGCTTGTATACCAACCATGATGCACTTGCTTCAATTTGCTGAGGAGTTCCTTTTCATTTATTGTGGTGTATAAGTTATTTATTTCCCCTTTCAAACGATTGCTGACCCAAATGCTGTTATATTGTGTTTCGCATTTTTGCTTCTACTGACATTGGGCTACCTATTGCTTCCTTCTTGGCTCACTAAATGTCATCATTGAATCATATCTTCTAATCTATATAACATTTCCTAAGAAATATTTAGCACTTGAATGTGCTAAGTTTCGTACAATAATATAATGACAGACTTCGAAGTGCACTTTGTTTTCAATTTCTGCAAAATTATAAAATTCTTTCGTAATAGTTTAAAATAAGGTTTAAATATGTTTTTCGTCTTTATATTTTAGCAAATTTTTTATTTTAGTCTCTTCAAACGAATTATTTTTATTTTAGTCCCTACTTTTTATAAATTTTTATTTTTAATCCTAACTTTGACGTGGTTGAATAAAGATTAACACGTGATATTATCTCAATTTAAAATATATTAACTAAAATATTTCACAGTTAAATTTTACATAAGATTATAATAATTTGAATTATTTTTCTTATAAGAATTTCGATTTAAAAATGATTTTAATATTAATAATTTCTACCCAAACTTATTAGGTTTCTTTTAATGATTTGAGGAGGTTTGAAAAATACTTTGTTAGAACATTTTTTTTTTAATGCTGAGAGCTTCCATCACTCACAGTGACTTTTCGGTGCTCTTTCTTTCGTTTCTAACTAAGAAATTATTGTTAATTGGACATTCGTTGTTATCATGGAGAGTAATGGATCTAAGAAGGTTTCGATATAGGAGGAAGACTTAATGAGTTGTAGCAAGAAGGTAAAAATGAATTTCATAATAAAATGAGATTTTGTGTGGAAGAAAATATAGAGAACGAAAAAGGAGAGGAAAATTATAAGGAGAGACAGAGAAATGAGTGAAAATTTGTGAATAGTTTTTTTTTTTTTAGATAAAAATTTTAGTTGGACTCAACAAATAAATTTCTTTGCATCAATCAAACAAACAAAAGAAAGTGAATTCTTGATTAATCGTAATCGTACATGAATCGATGAATGGATTCAAAGATTAACACATGATATTATCTCAATTTAAAATATATTAACTAAAATATTTGACAGTTAAATTTTACATAAGATTATAATAATTTGAATTATTTTTTCTTATAAGAATTTCAATTTAAAAATGATTCTAATATTAATAATCTCTACCCAAACTTATTAGGTTTCTTTTAATGGTTTGAGGAGGTTCGAAAAATACTTTGTTAGAACTTTTTTTTTTTTTTTAATGCTGAGAGCTTCCATCACTCACAGTGACTTCACTCCTATGGTGACTTTCCGGTGCTCCTTCTTTCATTTTTAACTAAGAAATTATTGTTAAATGGACATTCGTTGTTATCATGGAGAGTAATGGATCTAAGAAGGTTTCGACATAGGAGGAAGACTTAATGAGTTGTAGCAAGAAGGTAAAAATGAATTTCATAATAAAATGAGATTTTGTGTGGAAGAAAATATAGAGAACGAAAAAGGAGAGGAAGATTATAAGGAGAGACAGAGGAATGAGTGAGAATTTGTGAATAGTTTTTTTTTTAGATAAAAATTTTAGTTAGACTCAACAAATAAATTTCTTTGCATCAATCAAACAAACAAAAGAAAGTGAATTCTTGATTAATCGTAATTGTATATGAATCAATGAATGGATTCAAAGATTTGTATTAAAATAGAGATAATAAGTATTTCAAAGACAGAAAAATAAGGAGAAGTGATATGTCACTTAACGTGATATGTCAGCTTTCTATTATCATTTGTTAATGGAATGTGTTTAGTGATTAAAATGAATGACAAATATAAAAGTTAAGAATTAACATGACATTTTTAATTTTTTTAGATAGTAAAACACTGGACACAAACTCTTTTGGAGAGCAAAATAAAAGTTTAGTCTTCTTTTTCTAAGATTATGAAAGTCCATAGAAATCTACACTAATTATTAAACTTTTAAAGAAATACATTAGTCTAAAATATATGGATAAAAAAATGTGCTATCTTTGGGAGAAGAATGAAAGTATGAAAAATTGGACCTAAAAGATGATTTCTTTTGGGTCAAATTTGATAATATGAAAGACTATAGATTTTTCTTTTTGAAGGTTAGTTAATCTTATATCATTACTTTCTAGTACAAAGATGCCAGGCTGTTATTTAGACTTAAAAATTAAAATTTTAGAAAAATTGTTACTAAAGTCAAAATTTCTAACTTTCCATTAGAATTGTAGAATAAAAAAATTTTATATTATATAAAAAGAATCTTTAGATTCTATATTAAAAATTGATTTTCATACCTCATTATATTATAAAAATAATAGAATATGTGTGGAGTTAGTTTGAGAAAAAAATTAATTCTTTTAAGATAATAATTTTTGACTAGAGTACGAGATATTATATCTTATTTGTCTCGCTTGTGAAAAATATAGACAAACTAAAAAAAAAAATCTAAAATTCAGTAAATAGAAGAAATCTGCTAGTAGTGAAATCTAATTTTAAATAAATAAATACACGTATGTATATAGTAATGCTAGTTATGGATTAATCATGGATGGGAATATTCCTAAACTTTCAGAACAAAAACCACATCTTCCATTTTCCATTTTTCAACCTTTAAGATATTTTGCTTATTGTTGCGTTGCTTCAGTCTCCCTCTCCCGTGGACTCCAATTATTCCCTTTTCTCTTTTTTGGTCTTTCATTTTCTATTTTTCAATTTATTTTTTCTTTCATCTTCACTTGCGCTGCCTTCCCTTATGACTGTTGCTGTTACTGATCTGACGACAAAGAAAGAGAAGGAAGATGATGACCGTGGCGTTGCAAGAGATCTGTATTCACATGACTCTCGACATTCCTGCCATGCATGCTGAAGAGAGTATAGAAAATGAGAACAGAGAGCTGCAGACATATTGCGAATTTTGAGACCAAATTCTCAGAAAGGTTACAAATCACTCTAACCCACCAATCGTCGCATAATTTCTCAAATCAAAACTCAAGTTACCTAACAGCTTCACAGTCACAATTGGCTTAAGAATTAATTTGAATATTTAAATAAAAATCATTTAATTTATCATAAAAAGTTTTTTTATTTGACTTAATTTAAATAAAATTTTAAATCAAATCTAATTTGATTAAAATCAATTTAGAATGAATTGGATAATTTTATTAAAGTATAATTAAAACTTATTTTTTTATATAAAAAGATGTGATATATATATATATATAATTTAAATTACTTTAAAATAGATACACTTATAAATATATTAAAATAATATAATATATCTCTAAAATAATAATAATAAAGTAAAAATAAAATTATAAAAATTAATTAAATATTATAATTTTATAAATATATACTTGTATATATTAATTTTATAATTAAAACTATATAGCTTCGGTTAAAATTAGATTAGACAATCCAATTGCTTCTATTTTTTATGTTTTGATGTTTGTAGTAGTTAAAATAGTAGGCTTTCTTGTAAGTTTAATTGAGTTTGACCGTTTAGTCTCGTTTTATAGAAAAAAAAAATTTAAATTAGACAAATTTTTTAAATAAAATTTGAAATCCAATTTTATAAATTTTTTTTTCCAATTTCTGTATTTTTTGTTTTTATTGATTAATTTTTTTTTTTATTTACGTAGATTGAATCGGTTGATAATTACGTTTGATACCAAAACCATCCTCATATTCACTTCTTCTATTCTATTCTGTAAGATTCCAATTTATTTACTTTATTTTTATTACATGTCACCACATTTTATATTTTTCGTAATTAATTTGAGAAAGATAATGAAGAGGTGTGGTGCGAAATGGAAACCCATCATCACCAGTGCTGGCACGCTTCCGCGTTCCTTGGTCACACTCTTCCACCACTCCAACCCTGTTCATGGCGAACCCTTCACACAACACCCTTTTCCCCTTCTCGCATCTCTTGCTCCGCCAGCAAATTCCCACGTTGGGATTCCAATGCTGAAACCTTTCGACCCCGAAATTTCAATTTCAATAGTGCCAGAGACAAGGAACAAGAGAGTGAAGAACAAGAAGAAGGGTATGGGAAGAAGAGGCGATGGTGGTCTGATGAGTATAGGGAATTCGAAGAAGAATCTTCATCTACTGGGCTTTGGGAAGAAACCATTGATGGTTTATGGATTCTCAAGGTAAACCAATTTTACTGTTTTTATTTTTCGTCTCTCTTTTTGTCTACGTGTTAATTGTGTGTTTAGTTTCCCTTTTCAAATTGAACCTACCAACGTTTGTCATATTTTTTAGTAATTTTTCTATTGTTTTATAAAGTAAGTACTAAAGTTAAAAATTTTATATATTTATTATTTTAAAAACATAAAAAATATTAATATTTTATATAATAATTAGGATATATTTTCCTTTTGATGAAAAATAGTTAGGATGGTTTGTAAGAATAAAAAGTTTTTCTAGTAACGTGTGTAACGGCTTTCTAAGAGTGAGATTTGGCCCTTACTGTTTTGGTTATTTGAATGATGCCCTTTATTTTCATGTGTAAGATAAAAGTAGTTTATGAAGAAATTTGGCTTTTTTTAATTAAGTTGTTGGTTTAAAGAAGGCTTATTTTTGGAGTTTGTGAATATAGGTTGAATATATTGAAAGATGTACTAAAATGGATATTATTTTCTGTGGATTTACAATTTTAGAATTAGCTGCGCGCGTAAATGAGTAAATGATTACTATTATTTGCATATATTCTATTTAAAGAGATTTGATGTTGTTTTCTTGTTTCCTTGCCATTCATGATTAAACCAGGACTTTTATTTGTGGGAGGATAAGTGTGAAAATAGGTGTTAATGATACTGTTGATTTCCCATTTTTTGGACATGCTCCAATAGCTGCCGTTGGCTTTTAACGTAGTGCAAATGCATGTTTTCTTTTAGTATTCACGAAATGAGTGCAACTTTCTTGGATATAACTTTCATATAAGAAAAGAAATCTATTTTATATATATGCATTTTTTCTTTGGACCTTAAATGTCACCAACATTTTCTAGTAACCCAATTGTTGTAATGCCTGGAACTGAAACAAGAACATGTAATAGGTACACAAAATTTGGAACAGTTGGGGCAGACACATATCGTTTGATTTTGTTATCATACAGTAATGCCAAACCTAAACGTCATATTTGAACCATGGTTTTTGTTAGGGAGGGAGCTAGAGTTAGTAAGTGATTGTTAATTAGACATCTAACAGAATTTGACACAGACAGGCTATGAACAGTGAAGATTAGGGGCGTTCTCAAGCTTTCAGCAGCCTGTAGGGAACACTTGTATTCCTTCTTTCTCTAATGCTGCTTCACAAGTACCTATCATATTCTGTTCTTTTAAAACAAAATGAATAATAAGGGAGCTATTGCATGATGGAAATTTAGTGTTCAAATTCTAATTTTCGTAAATCAACAGCTTTGCTTATGCTAGCTACTACTAGCTAGTAACTAAAAGTAATAATATTGTGCAGTTGTTATCAAAATTCCAAACTTGAAACCAATGTAATGGGAAATATTGCTGAGTACTATGGGGAGAAACCGTTCCCAAGTCCCAACATCTATTCATATATTTTTATTGGAGAAAACTTCTACCACTTGATAAAGTTAATGACAATGGTTTTCACAGCGAGTATAGGTGTTTTGAGATTTATGAAGATACTTAATTACGGAAAATTCTTGTCAACTTATTTAGTTGAGGAAGCAACAATGACCTGATCACTTAGGTGTAGAGCATCTATCAGTACCAGAATGAAACCTTGCACTTAGAGAAGTTACTACTTTCTAGTGATGGACTCTAGTTTCCAGTTCCACCAGAAGTTTTTGAGTTTTGTTCATAGTATAATATATAAAGGCATGTCTTTCAATTTGATATCAAGAGTCAAGACACGGCCTACCAGTATTGCATAACAAAGCTATGAGAAAGATCAAAGCACCAAATCCCCTAAGCAGATTTTAGTTAGCAAAGTATATTTAACTCTTAACAACAGTTTCCTGCAGACCTAAGGTTTCACTTCAGTGAGAAGAATTTAATGAAAAATGTATTTTTAAATCCCAACTCTTTATCTAGATGTAAATGGGTGATGATTTCTTAATTGATCTATCGGTTTTTAATTAAAATCCTCCGCAAAAAGAAGTGTAGAATTCAGAATGCTGAGATTAGAGGACTGCAATCTACTCTGTTAACTATTATATCAGCATATCATAGTTAATATGGTGCATCATAACTTTCTAATAACGGTTGTTGCCATTAAATCATGAAACCACTATACAATTGAGAGATCACTGTTCTATGGGAATTGCAAATTGATGGGCCAAATGCTACTAAGGCCCGACCAAGGGCAGATGGGGAAAGGTCTATTTTTGTAGGCCAAGGGCAAAGGCTGGAAAGGATGAGCAGGTGGGGTAAGAGGTGTGAAGAGTTAGTTAGAAGAGAGAGAGTATGTAAGGGATGGCAAAGTGGGGTTGGAGGGGGTGTGTATTCAGTTTTTCCTTAAGCTTAGGCTGGGCTTGGAGAATCCTCTCCATTGCTGGGAGTATTGCTCTTATCTTTCTGTAATCACATTTGAATTTCAATTCATAATTCTCTTATAGGGATTTCATCATATCACAAAATTACTGGATTTTCTAATCATCTCTTAAATCATTTTAACAACTGATAAAGCACAATCAATCTTAATTAAATCAAAGGACTTGTTTTAAATTTTCTCACAATCAGTCTGTTACTTTCTCCTCATTTTGCTTTAGTAGCTGTTGTGGTTCTCAGTATCCCTACTAACGCAGGTTGTAAAATTATCCGTAACTCCTTTCATATTATCTGATGCATAGAAAGCTCTCCAAAATAACTTTTGACCAGTTTATTTTGATTTATTTTATGATCAGTTTGTATCGCGTAAGTTATTCTGTTCTATGAATATTTTGGCCATCATTGCTGTGTGTAATGTAAACGGCATAACACTCTCCAAAAGGTTTAATTATGAATTAAGCAGCTAGAATTGTTGGTGTCCTGTAACACTTGTAGCCTACATAAGGTGTGGTTGTTATTGAGTTGCTAATGTTTTCATTTTTCTCAGTGCAGGTTTTCAAATCCTATGGTTGGATGCTGCCTATCATTTTTGCGTCATGGTTGCTAGCTAGTGGCCCAAAAGCTTTCCTCATGGCATTAGCACTGCCCCTTGGTCAGTCAGCACTTGCACTTGCATTTGAGAAATTATGGGGACAGTCGGAGAACAAACCAAAACGCAAGTACAGGATGAGGAGGAAATCCGGCACTGGAAGTGGCACCAGTGTTGACGAAGAACCCGAAGAGAACCAGAAAACCAGAAAGGGCAAAACGGGCTACCAATCATGGGTAGTTGAGAATAATGGTTCAGTTGATAGGGGCTGCCGAGAAGCGCCGAGTTTTGGTGGATGGGAGGACTTGGAGAGATCAAGACCAGCATCAAGGTCTCCCCGTGCTATGGATGGATCACAAAGGATGCCAATGGAAGCTGGTAGGTTGAGCAGAAGAGAAAGAAAAAGTGACACACCTCTGTTGTTGCGATTGCTGATCGCTATTTTTCCATTTTTGGGCACATGGACAAAGATGCTGTAATAGACTCTACCATAACTTGAGCTTGGATGAGTTGGATGTCATTTTTTCCATCTTCCTCGGATGAAAAGGAACGAAGTAGTTATTTTATGAAAAGGAACCATCAAATTTACATTCTTTAACTGTCTTATTTTTGGCTTAAGGTAATTTTGCAAGCCCCCATTACGTAGTTGTTGGGTTTGCTGTGATGGGATTTCCCCAAGTTACACTTTTTAGACAGCTTTTATGATTTAACTGTGCTGGATGCAACAATTTACGTGAACAGGATGTGTCACAAGTCCTTCATCTTGGCTAAATTCTCATATACAATTTTGCACATTTATAAATGTTTCTTCTCACAATTTATTTACTATTTTTATATCATTTAATTAGGTATTACAATTTAATTATTGCATGGTTATATGAGAGTGACTTTTTTTCAAATGTATTTATTTATATACGACACATTAAAAAATATTTTTCTTCATTGTTCTACTGCATACATTGTGTTAATGAACTTTGCTTATTGCTAACTTTCTTCGTTCAATTTTACTATAGTAACATCTTCTGACAGTGTTAGATGTATATATGTGTATTTTTCGGATACAAGCTAGATGTAGATAGTCACAATTTTATTGTTAAAAACAACTTGCTACAGTGACGCATGAGGAAGAGAAAATATCACTCTGTTGATGATACTTAATGCACATAACCTATATTCTTTTTATCAAATGCGGTTCATTGGATAACACTTACTTGTGAGTGTCGTGTTGAGATAGGCTACACAACTGCAATTTAGAGGACAACGTATTTGGTTGGCTGCAATGGAAGATTTGATGTCAAGAGGAATATGTTTTGCCAAGAGATTGTTCACACACGTTGCTACTTAAATAATCATTCTTCTCTCACATTAGATACTACTATTTTTGCTTCAAGCTCTTTTTTCTGAATGCTTGGAGGGTGGTCAGACTACTATTTCAAAATCATAAGTTAATGTGAAATAAAATGTCAATTTTACCTAAACTCCATGTTGGATATATGTTGTTCTAATCATGGATCTTTCACATGGTTTTTCACCAAACTGAACTGATACTGTTTGTAGTTACATTGAACTTCGAAAACTTCTGTTTAATATGACATAAGTATCAATCACATGCCAAATAGTTATAATGATTTGAAACTTGGTCATTTTGACACTTATAGTTTATACATCATTATAGTAAATATTTTGCCTATTCATGGTAAGGAGTGAGGAGGAATCTGCTTCATGCTTCATGTTTGTCCTAATTGTGATGTCTCTATTACTAATAACAATTTTATCCTTATTGTTATGTTATTATATCAAATTTTACACACACACAAATAAAAAACTAAGTAATAGTGCACAATTTTATTATAATCACTTCCAGCGGTTCAAACTTTAATCAATCTTAATATGTTTTAATGCCTTTTAGTATAGTTTAACATATTTCGTACCGTCTACAACACAAATTAGTTAGGTTTAGTCTCTTGTTAAGACTTAGGTACTTTACTATCTCTTATGGTTAAACTAACACGATTTGCCTATCGTCTATACCTAGCGTTTTAAACTACTTTTCTTATGAATTAATTCACAATCACAACAAAAATTACAACCATCAAATTGTCCATTGGGTACAATTTATCATAATCACACATCTCTTAAACAAGATAATTTATATCATGGACATGACAATTTTTTAGATTTTTCTATATGCATCAACTTGTAAAATTCATAATTAAATCAATATAAATTCAAAAATCATAAAATTGTTGTAGCTCTCTTCATAATGTCTATTTTCATATAAAAGTGGAAGTATAAATTATTCACTCACAAAGAGTCATTTGAGACTTAGTTTTCTTGTGTTATTCCCAGAATACCATACTTAGCTTCAGGATAATGAAAACTTTGTAACTAATTCATTTTAACTTCAAAAATATGAAATCGGGTTATGTTTCTTTAAGTATCAACTTTTCAAAAAATAAAATAAAATAAATTCACACATAAATCATTCACCTACAGAGAGTAACACTCAACCCAATTTCTCTCTTTATGTTCATACAATGCCATTTTCAAAATCCAACAAATTGAAAAATTCATAACCAATTCATTATACTTCCAAAAATAATGAAATCAACAAGGTTATGTTCCTACAAGTATCTATTATCATTAAAAAAAAAACATTCACGTAATAAACCCTTATAAATTATAATTTGAGACCTATTTTTCTTTTGCAGGTCACATGTTATTTTATTTCAATAATATATTCTTAGAAAAGTTATGATTTATTCATTTCAAATCCAAATGTGATAAATTAGTGTGGTTGTTCTCCTATGTATATCTATTTTCAGGCAAAAGTACATGTTGAGACCTCGGGCTACCTTACTAAGAACAAACTTCCTTTGCAAATTACATGATTTTATTTTTCACCAACTAGTGGGTTAGAAAATTCATATCTTACTCATTTTAAATCTAAAATTGATGAAACCAGTGGGAATATTTCCTTTTGTGTCTACCTTTCACAAAAAAAAAAAATCATAATTGAAACACTTATGAATATTTCCTTTTGTGTGTCTACCTTTCAAAAAAAAAAAATCATAATTGAAATACTTACAGAGTCTTGCATGTGACACAATTTACCTTTGCAGGACACATAGTTCCTTTTATCTTGAGAACTTAGTTTAAAAATCATAATTAATTTATTTTAAGTAAAATTTTAGTAAAATCAATGGAAAATTACTTCTAATATAAATTTTATATAAACAAAATACTTCTATAAATATTTTCAAAAGAGTCCCTGCAATTTATAAAAATTGCAGTTTAGCCCATAATTGTTTGATTATTTGTAAAAAGGTTCATTTACCAAAATTTGGTTAATTTCAAGTTATCAAGCATGTTTTCTTCTTACTTCTATGTTATTATTCAAGTCTCAATATAGTAAAAAATATTTCTTTGGTCCTATTACTTATGTGATTAAATATTTTAATTTTTTGAAGTCTATTTATGGTCAAAATCATGGTATTTTCTTATTTTAAGTTCATTCTTTCAAATTTATTCTAATATCTTAGTCAACTTCATGTACTTCACATATTTCAGAAGTTCCAAAAGTGTCCATGGATCCAAAAATTCCTTTCCGAGTTACTTTTTATTTTAGGTCATTTTCATTTAACTTTTTTACCTAAAATATTCAAAAATATATTCAAAATATTATTTAAATTGAAAATAAATCCAAAAAATCTAGAATAATAAAATCAAGTATGCTGACTTTCTAGAAAAGTTTTTGTGATTTTTGAAATTTTTTAAGACAAAAAATAACATAAAAATAGTTCTAACTATTTAAAAATTATAAATCTTAAAAATTTGTGAAAATCCCTTTTTATACCCTACCAAAGCCCAATCACGAATTTTTCACCAAGGTTGATTTATTTATACTATTAAAGGTTAAACAAAGGATTAAAACTTAGATCATACATCAACAGGAATATTTATAGAAACAACAAATATTTCAAGATAAAAAAGCTTAATTTTTGCAAAAAGATTTAAAAGATTGTTCAAACAATTTCAACTCAAAATACTCATTTATAGTTTGTCAAGATTTTTCTGTAAAATTTCATGTTTTTGTTATTTTTAATTTTTTATTTTATTTTCTTGTTTCAATCAATTTTATTTTCATATATCAACTAGACCTATAAATTTTCATCAAATAAAAAGGGTTAAGGGTTCCCCTTGACTCAAAAAATTATTGGCAAAAGTATTCCTCAATTTATGAACTATACATCCCTCCTTTACTTGAGGTTAAATGATTAAAAGAGCTTCATGTGACTGGATTTGAAATTTTAGCTAAGTGTTTCAATTTGGCTCCATTTTACATGTGAAAATGGTATTCATCTTGTTTGGTGTCTTTCAATTTTTTTTCTTAGCTTTTATAGGGTAGGGACCTTACGACTAGCTAGGAGGGTTCAAGTCAAGCTGTAACATCCTAAAATTTTTGTCCTTAGAAATGCTCATTTATTTGTACAAACTCAAAATAACATACTGATAGCATGCATTATTTGTGCACATTTTCAATCCTTTAGAGTGTGTAAATTACCTTTCATGTTCCCTTATTTCACAAATTATGGCATTTCCTAGTTAATTGGATGATAGGAACTCAATTTCAATTAATGTCTAAATTCTGTTTTTAGACCCGCACTCACTGTTTTGATCGTAACTTTTTCCATAGATGTCCATTCGGTCTGATTCCAGTTGCATTGGATTCCTCATTTTCTGGGATATAAAATTCATATGCAGATCGTCCAAATTGGACCTGTTTTCTATTTTCTATGAATTTTTGAAGTTAAGAAAATTGTGCAGGAATTTTTGTATTCGAATTTTGTTCTTGTAATTTCATTTCATTTGTATTAACATTTCATTAGCTTGTAATTTGGGCTGTTTAATCACACTTGTGGGCCCTTCCTTTTAGTGTTGGATCTGATCATAAGTGGTGCCTATTAATATGTTAGAGGCTCCACTTTACAAGGAGGTTTTTTGGTTTTTGGTTTTTGTTTTGACACACTTTTAAAATTCAGTTTTGACTCCTAAAATTCTCTCTCGAATTCTCTCTCTTCTCTTGGTGTGACTTTTCGTTTTCTTCTTTCTTCTTCTCTCTTCTTGACTTGGCTGAGCATTGGATTCTATGGAAGGCTAGGCTTCTTGGATTGATACACAAGGAATAGAGAATTGCAAGGAAGATTCAGAGTGGCTCCAAGTTTGAATTCTCTTTTCTCCTCTTCTCTTTCGTTTTCAAGATATTGATAATGTTTGGGGATAGGAATTGAATTGAATTTTGATTGTAGTTTGATTCATGAAATTGAATTAGATTGATAGATTTATTAGTCAAATTCGTAATCTAGTTTGTTAGCAAATTCGATTGAATTAGTTAATGGATTAGATGTTCAAACTAGGGAAACAATGAAGGATGTTGTTTGCATGAACCTATGACTTGTGGATCAATTAATTCTCATTTGATTTCTCTTTTATTCCAGAATTTTATGCGTTTGATGAGATTATTCTTAAACTCTCAAAATTCCCCAATCTTTTGTTTCATTTTAACAATTCGGCAAAGAAGAATTAGATACAAACGTGTCCTCGAGAATTCGACCTTGGTTGACATTATTCTACAAATAATTGCAAAAATCTTGTGCATTTGATAAGTGTTCGATAAAGCTATATCACATACGAACTTCTTTATATGACAAATATCATAAATACGAGTAAATAATAAAGAAATTATTTGTCAAAATGTGAGACCTGAAGTAATAATTACATAACTAAAATAAACAAAGTTTCAGAACAGTCT